GGGACCCCGCCCGGCGGGAGGCGAGCGCCGGCACGCCCCGCGGGGCCCTGGGAGAGGCCGGAGACGCCGCCGCCCCGCGGAGAAGCAAGCTCAGATGGCCACCCCACGGGGCAAGGACAAGCCAGTGGCCAAGCGCCACGGTGTCTTCGTGCTTTCTGCCCTTGTAGGGCCGGGCTGTTCTCAGCAGTGATGCCCGCGCTGCTGCCTCTCCGGTCTCCTTGGGCGGGCCCACCTCCCTCCTGACCTGTTACAGAAACACCAGTGCACCTCGCGTGTGCTTCTCTAATGGACTTACAGGCTGGGCCTCCAGGTGCCCAATGAGTAGTTAAAAACAGGGTGGATCTTGGCATCTTTGCCTACATTTTATGTCTCCTTTATTACTCTAAAACTCTGGGTCAGGCCAGGCGTCGTGGTGCACACTGGTAATGCCAGCACTCGGGAGGCTGAGGCAGGAGGATCTCTGCGAGTTCGAGGCCATCCTTGGCTACATTGTGAGTTTAAGGCCAGCCTGAACTACATGGTGAGACCCTGTCTCAAACATCCGAACAAACACGCTTGGTTGGGGTCAGGGCTCAGCTCAGCATGCAGAGGTGTTACTCACTTGAGTGTATTACAAGGTTTATTAGCCCTAAATTTACCTAGCTTATCTCCTCCTTCAATTCGCAGGACACCAAGATAAGTGTTAACTAATTTTCAGGATTTGCAGGACACCCAGTTGCCAGCTTTCTCCAGCATCCTGTTCTGGACGCTGTGGAGTGCCATGCCTGTAAATCTCTAACCACTGTCCTAAACCCTCGGGCATCTCTATTCCAGGAAGCGCAGTCTCCCAGGTTCCCCCAGGATGTTACCCCTGTGGGAAAGCAGGAGCTGTCATCCGTCATCTCAGGGTGGGAACTGAACTGTCCTCGAGTGGTGATGGCGCTCCTAAGACCTGCAGAGCCAGTCCTGAGACCCCACAGCTTGACCAGGGTTGCCCACCCGGCCAGCCCTGCACCCCACCCCGCCCACCTATACAGACCCCAAACTCTGGTCTTTGCTCCCCTTTCCTGTAAAACTCCAAGGTTCCTGCCAGGCAGATTTGGAATCTTTATCTGTGTCTCCCTATAGTCATGCCCTTCACCACAGGCCTTGACTGGCATTTGGAGTAAGTAGCAGAACTTGGTCTGTTGGACCCCCGTAAACAGGGTTTTTGCCCTGTAACTCCAGTAACCCATCCACTAACCTAGCCATCCTCAGAGACCACTTTGTTGATCTTCCTGTCCCACAAAAGGAGAGTGAACTTTTCTGGGACAGAGGGAAGCGGTAGCAATGGGAACTGTTGTGACTTAGCCAAAGCTAACCATTACCACCAGGTGGAGTGGAAACTGAAATCTGTGTGTGCGTGTGTGTCTGTACACACATCCCTGGCAGGCCTGGAGGCAGAGATAAGGACCTGATCTTTACCCCTTACAATAGATAAAGCTTCTGTTACCAGTTTAACAATGTTCAAATTTTCTGTAACTGCCCCTCCCTACCCTACTCCACACTAGGGCCAAATCCAGGGCCTTCACCAGATCTTTATTTTTTGACGGGGGCTACTAAATTGCACAGGCTGGGCTCAAACTTAAGATCTTTCTGCCTCAGCCTCCTGAGTGCTGAGGCGCAGGAGTGTCAGCACACCTGCCTCCACTTGTCAATTCACCCTAGGTAGGTCAGAAGCCTCAGCTTTCATTTGGTTGATTTAGGGCCTCACCACACCGTCCAGGCTGGCCTTGAATTTGTGCTCCTGCGTTAGCCTGCCTAGCTCTGGGATTATGGACTTGTACCACCACACCCGGATTCAGTTTCTTAGTACAACAGAAACAATTCAAAATTTCCAAAACTGTCCAATTCTATTGCTGGTAAATACCATCCAACAGAAGCAGAATTTTATCAACAACCTCATTGTTTTTGGGTACTGATGAATAAATGTAGATACCACTTCCCTCCAGGCTTTTACAAAACATAATTAGTTCACCACAAAATCTCTTTCCTTATTCTCTTGAACTCCATCCTCCTACCCACGGGCCTGTGTTCAACTGAATCATACCTCCTGCCACCCAGGGGCTTATCTGCTCACTGATCTCCACACAACAGAGGGTAAGCAAGCTTCCAGGGGCCTGCCTCTCCCATTTCTGAGCCAGCTGCTGGTCGTAGGAATTTTACAGCAGCATAAACTAGAATTTCTTGACCTCTTAAAATCTCTGGGAAAAAAAAAACAAAACACTTAGGTGCCAGGACAGGTCCCACCTCGATGGATATACACTACCAAATCTAGTCCCTGTATAGGTATGTTTTTAATTTGTATTGCAAAAAGTGAACTTACTTTGTAGTTTCTAAAAGCACACTTCATTTATTTATTTTTGGCCATTTACTGACAAGCCTTGCCCTTAGGCAAATTCTTAAGAGGTTTTTTTTTTTTTTTTTTTTTTTTTGAGACAGCATCTTGCTTTGTAATTCAGGCTGGCCTCAAACTCGTGGTAATCCTCCTGCTTCAGCCTCCCAAGTGCTGGGATTACAGGCATGCGCCACTACAGCTGGCTTGAGATGGGGTCTTGCTATATTGCCCAGGCTAGCTATATTGCCCTAAACTCCGGTGCACAGGTGCTCGTCCTGATTCAGCCAAGTACCTGGGATGACGTGTGCATCACTAAACCTAGTTTCTCATTTTAAACAGCTGTGCTCTGTGGACAATGACAGTATGCTGTCAAGGAATAGGCAGACGTCTGGCTTATTAATCGATATTGGTATCCTGCAGGCAAAACAGGACCTCGCACGCACACTCGCCGCTTGGATGTTTACGGCACAGACCACTGGGGCTATGTGGGCAGTCTTTCCTCTGGACTTTCTAGTGGGTGCCGTCCCCTCCTGGTCCTTCTGAGAACCACCGAGTAAATGGCCATGCACTGTGCCTACCCAGGACCGCAGGGCTGACTCGTGCTTAAGGACTGATGACCAGTTCTCCATCCTTAGACTGAAGACTTGCAGGTAGAGCCATGTTGTTTGCGTATCACTACATGTACTCAGGTGCTGCCCCTGGCCCACAAAAAGGCAGCTGTGGAGTATTTGTTTTTTTTGAGACAGGGTGTCAACTGTGTAGTCCAGGCTGGCCTCGAATTTGGGATCCTCCTGTCTCAGCCTCCCAGAATGCTGGTATTACAGGTCTTTGCCACTGTACCTACCACCACTGTGAAGCTGAGACAAAAAGGGTATGCAGCCCCTCACAACTCCGAGCTTCCCACACGGAAGTGAGAGCCACGTTCCCCAACACAAATGTAGACCCTCAAACAGAACCCAAGACCCAATTCCCATCCTTCACCCTTGGGATTAGACTCCAAATACTTGTTTGTAGCTAGGTGTTTTGACACACCTGTAATCCCAACACTCTGAGAGGCTGAGGCAGGACGACTGGAAATTCAAACCCAGCCTAGGCAACTTAGTGACAAAAACAAGATCCGTCACAAAATACATGAAGGAGTGGGGATGTTGTTCAGTCTGAAGGGATCCAGTACCACTGTGATGGTGGACTGTGTCAACCGGAGTGACTACTGCCCACCTGAACTGACTCAGCATGGTCTGGAGTGTTACAGAATGGTATAAAAAGGAAATGAACGCTCACTTCTGCTTCCTTTGGAGGAGCTCCTGTCCTTTCGTCACCTCAGATGCTGTCTCCCAGCTTCCAGTGCAGACGTTCCAGCCTACAGCATCGACCTTCAGCCTAGCACTGGACAGCCCCCTGAGCTCCGAGCATTTGACTGGACCCTTCAGGTTCTCAGCATGCAGACAGCCCTTCCGCACTCTTCCACACGTGTCCCTGGGCAGCCATTGAAAACCAATCTTATAAATTCTTATATATGCGTATATCTTGTCTTAAGTGTTTCTCTAGCTAGCACTGACTGATACAACCACAAAAACAAAAACCCACAAAAAATACACTTGTTTCCATCCTGAGTTGTCGCTATAATCCTCAGGGCCTATAAAGCCAGGATCCCCATCACACTTCCACGTGTTGTGTAGGGCCCCAGAGGTCTGCCTCTCAGCCTGCACCCAATGCAAGTACAGACGAAACTCTACTTCCTCCTGCAAGGACCATAGACAAGTGCTCCCCAGACAACCAGAAAAGGAACCAAAGCAGAGCTGAGTGTGGCCAGTGCACAAGGGGATGAGTGACAGGAAGGCTCTCATCAGGTGCTCCACGGCCAGACCCTGCAAGGGGCTCACAGGGCTACTTAGACCCTTTGAAGAAAGACTCTACACATTTTTTATAATCAGAAACTTAAGTTTATTTTTAATAAACCACTCAACTTTGAGCAATGACATTTCCTCAACCTTTTCTTTGAAGAAAAACAGATTGATAAGTTCATTAAAACACTGTGTCTCTCTTCTACCTTTTGCAGGGCAAAAAAACTGTGCCTGACCTTTCCCATCTTCCTGATAACGTTAACGGAGGACAGCCACTGAGCACAGAA